GTAGGTAGACCTTTATTACTCGTTCTATGCATTGACCACGATGTTTTTTTTTTTCTTTTTCCAATGAAGGCCATTGGTACCATTGTTGCTAATTAAACAGTTGATTATCATTGTCAGATCACTTTATTTCTCTAACTTGGAATGAAAATTTTTCAACTTAGAATCTGCTTTCATCTGTCATCCTGGGAAATGAGGTTCATCATGCATTTAGCATAGTCCAGAAGCTGTCTTGGCTGTTCAGGACTTGAGATCACACATTTCGGTGTACCCTTGTGCTGTTTGTTGTCTACTTATTTATCACATATTGATGCTTGATTATTGATTATGTTAGCAAATTTTGACAGATCATTTTATGAGAAATCACTGCCCTTCCTCCCCTCTCCAGTCCATATAATATGTTTACTGATATGAATATAGTTTTTAAATCTTCATTGTTAAACAGTGCCTTCAATATTTGGCTTCGACAGGTTGCTGCCCTTATTCCCCAATGTGAACTTGATCTTCCGGTAGGTGGCAGTGTTAAAGATGTACAGCCACGAATGATGACACAAGCACTTCGAAAAATTCATTACGCGCTGTGCCATTCTCAGACTCTTATAATTTTTCTTAATCAGGTTGTGATCCTGTTGAGCTCTTCACATGCTTTTTCTTTGGTCAGTCTTTTCTTTCCACTTTGGGCTGTATGTTGTGAAGAAATACTGAATGTACACTGTATATTGTCTTTTTATCAATCTAGACCAGATTAAATGTAAAGCCAGGTAAACATTTTGGACATATGGAAGAGGTCACATGTGGTGGAAATGCATTGAAATTCTATGCGGCTGTACGCTTGAGAATGTTACGTACTGGATTGCTCAAGATGGGGGATAAGGTATAAGTCTTATAATACCACTGACATTAAGGAGTATGTTAAACTTTTAGCACTCAAATATATGTATTTAAGTGAAAGTGTATCTTTCTCCAAAAACCTGATCTTCATAGAATTTTCTGTTAGCTAATCTGAAATCATAGATTTGGCTTCTTTGGAACGTTTTCTGGCTTGCTTCTGCATTGCCTTGTACCTTCCTCATGTGGACAGTTCTTTTTCACTGCATTGCTTTATTGCCAGACATCTCGCCCTCTCATCTGCATCTTTTGTTTTTGTTGAATTGATTTCTCACAAAATAAAAAGTAATCTATTATTATTTAATTATTTTCTCACTATATCAGAATGTTGATGAAAGGAAAACTTTCAGTGGCGAGATAAAAACTAAAAAGGGACTTGATTAGCGTACCAGATTCATAATGGTTGATCACCTCCCCTATCAGTCATTCAAGGATCAGAGTCCACTGTTTCCACTATAACTAGTCTGATTTCTTATTTGTAGTCTGTCTGACTTCTTGCATATTATTTATTGAGACTTCCTATCGTTCCAACATATCATAGAATGACTGTCTAGGATTTTCGAAACTCAAAAAAGGCCACGGTTGCTGGGGATAGGAAGAAAGTGAGAATTTAAAACCTTCTTTAGTTGTGGGGTATATTTACTCTGCACTGGTTCCATTTTCAGCCGTGTCCTTGAGGAATGACAGTACCTCAGCACTAGAACCCACTGTTCTGATATCATGAGCCAGTAATAGTATCATTATCCAGATAACTTTTAAGGTGAAATAACCATTTCACTCCTTGTAGTTTCGCTTTATTGCTGGTGAATCTTATGGGTTTTTCTTTTTGCCCAAAGTTCTGTACCTGTGTTTCCGAAATTTATGAAGTGCTTACCAGATACTTGGTTGCAAATTAAGCTTCCTGATCCATCTTGTGAGAGTAAACAAATTTAGTTCACGAATATACCAAAGTGCTTGTTTCTTGAATCCAGCATAATAGACTATCTCAAACTCTCTGCATTTATCGATTGAAAGATTTTAATTTCTCGAAATGATTATATTTTTATCATTCTTTTTACTTCAGGATCGTATATTCAAAAATTACTTGTATTTACCTGAGTCATTGAAGTTCTATTTTGTATCAGATAACCGGTCTCAGCGTTTGCATACAAGTGGTGAAAAATAAGTTGGCGCCAGCAATGAAGAAAGCAGAGCTAGAACTACAGTATGGTAGGGGTTTTTGCCGTGCGTCTGAGGTACTGGAATTGGCCTGTGAACATGGAATCATCCTTGAGGAAGGAAGCAGCTATTTCATAGAAGGGGAGGTGTTCGGTGATAGGCAAGCAGCCAAGCAGTATCTAATGGAAAATGATGAGGTTCTTGACAAGATAATCACGGTCTTGAGGAACAAATTATTTGGAACATTGTTATAGTTGGAGGAAGATTTTCGAGAACATCAGATTCTGCCAAAAAGCTTAATTGGACAATGACCTGGTCGAAGCAAGCCATGTAATTACATACCCGAACTGCAGCCATTTACCTGGGTTTCACTGGCACGAGGAAGTCAAGAATTTGTCAGTTACACCCCAGATTGTGGCTATTTATCTGGGTTTCACTGACTAGAAGAATTCAAGAATTTCAAGATTGTTATCCAGCAGGATACTATATATATATATATATACATTTCCAACTGGGTTGTATACCTTTTTACTTGGTTCAGAAGAACCAGATCAGATGCCCATCAGGTATGTAAAAACAAGGATGGAACTTATTCTGAAGATGTTTAGGTATAAGACTCCGCACTCTAATATATTGTGTAGATGTGACTTGTTCCTATGGCAACATAATCCTGTCTTTAACCATCAACAATAGTTTCTGAATTCCTGGTTTCGGAGTGTGTTGAAGTTCTATTTCAGCAGCTAAGCTCCAATCCAGTATCTATTAAATATATTTTAGGTGAGGTTTTGCACATTAAAATTAAATTTATCTTTCGATGTAGTTAAAAACACATTATTCATGTTATTTACAAGTAAATGTTTATTAACCAGCAGATTTAATCTTTTGAATATCATATTCTGATAACTTGTCTTTTGACAATGCCGACCATTTGCAGAAAATTTATCTTGAAAGCGTCATTGTGAAAATGATTTGATAAATTTTCAATTTGTCAATACGATAAAATGATTGATTGTATGATGACTGTTTTCCCACGTAATAGCAGCCTCTTGATTATTGCCCCAAAAGTTAAAAGTCAAAATTAGTTCTTGCTTGATCCTGATTATATGTATATATATAGCAGGCTTAAAATACGTATGAGTTTTTAGGATAAAATTTTTGAAATGGATGGTATAATATTATTATTATATTCTATATACGATATTGCTTGACCATGACTTTTGGAGTCTTGAGTTAGATAAATGCCATAATGATATTTTTCTACACTTTTTAGTGGAAATTTCCACATATTGACAGTCCTTGGATTTATCGTTTCGAGCATGAATCGGTTCAGAATTTTCTCCGGTGATTTACGAGGAGACTTCCAAGTATGTATAATAAATGTAGGTTGATGCGAAATTGTATGTGTAATAGGTATTTAAAAATTTTAATTTATTAAGTGATGCATATATATTAATTATAATATAATATAATAAATAAAACATTTATCTAAAAAAAAAAAAAATACAATAAATATAGCACTTCACAGATAAGACATGACATTTGAGGCGTTTTTAGAAGAATATGATATTTTGGAGAGTTTGAAAAATCTTATAAAATCAAAGAATTTTGTAAAAATAATATATTTCTTGAAAGAAGAAAAATTATAGTAGGAAATATTGAGAGAGAATTTAGCGGAAAACGAAAATTATGAGTAATGATAATTTTTAGGAGGTTTAATTTAAATTAAAAATTCCCGTAAGAATTAATAATTACTTGGAAAAAAAAAATACTATAATTGATATTGAAGGAAAAATTATAATTAAGGCAAAAAAGAGGATAAAATTTTAAATATTTTAAAAGACAGAGAAATTAATTTAAGATTAAAAGAAAAACTAAATTGTAAGAATTTTAGAAGAAAAGCAAATTTAAAAATTTAAGAGACAGAGAGCGAGAAAAATCTCACATGATTTAAGGGAGAAAACTCCTTTGGTTCCCTTCTCCTATATAAGGATGGTGCACGGTGCTCTAAAGTGGCAAGAATTTCATATCTTTTAAGGAGGAAAACTCCCCTAGCTTTCATCTTCTATAAATAAG